GAAGCAGGGTCTCTCTATGTAGTTGAGACTGACACTATGTAGCCCAGGCTGGTCTCAAACTCACAGCAATCCTCCTGCCTCAGCCTCCCAAGTGCTGGGATTACAGGCATGTGCCACCACACCCAGCTAAAAGCATATTATAGATGAGGAAATGGTTTTAGAGTGATCTGATGGTTTTATTTATTTTTTGATACCTGGGATCGAACTTGGGTCCTTGTGCTTGCAAGGCAGGGGTGGAACCACTGAGCTAAATCCCCGGCCCTCTAGAATTCTACTTAATGTCGGGTATCTTACTTTTGAGCTGTTCAAAAAACAATTAGCAAGCTGGGCATAGTGTGCAAGACTGTAATCCCAGCACTCCTGAGGCTGAGGCAGCAGGATCGCTGTAAATTCGACCAGCAGCCTGAGCTACATAGTGAATTCCAGGTCAGTCTCAGCTACATAGTGAGACCCTGTCACAACAACAACAAAATATAGACAGAAATGTGGTGGACCTGTGTTGTACTCAGACTGATGACCCAGGATCACTGGACGGAGGGAGTGAGGTGATTACCTTGTCAGGAGCAAAGGTTTATCTTGGCTCCCGTGTCCCTGGGCTCTGGGCCTCTGCTGGAGGTGGCAGGGCAAAGCAGGGCATGCATGTGAGTGGCTCCCAAGGGGTTCAAGAAGCAGGAGGGATGGGCATCTGATTCCACAGGCCACACCCGCAGGTCTGCACTCCATAGGCCCTGCAGTGCACTTGGGCCCTGCATCTAATAAACCACACCAGGACTGAGGAGGACAGGGGTGTGCAGCTGCCTGCCACCTGGAGGCAGGGGAGGGGACTGGACACCACACAGTCCTCGGAAATGTTTTCCTGTGATTCCTGTTTCCCTGTCATTGTCATGGAGAAGCGTCCCTAGTGAGTAAGTGCTATTGAAAGGTGCTCTGTGGTCCTCTGGGAGGGGTGTCGAGGTCCCCAGTGGCCTCCCTAGGGCTCAGACAAGGTGCCTGCAGCTGGCTACACACACCCTGGCCCCGGGAATGTCAGAGGGATTTGCATCTTCCTCTCTCTTCCTGCAAGTGCCACTAGAAGCAAGCACATGTGACACTAGGACCCTCTGTCACTGGGACAGTCTGCTGTCCAGGGGTTGGGTTAGGTCGAAATGACTCACTTGTCATTACCTGAGGGATGCAGTGAGTGAAAGCTTACTTCACAACAGTCTTCGCCAGGAAATCAAGTGTTCCAATGTCTTCTAGAACCTTCCGCCATCCTGCTCCTTCCAAACTTGAGAGCAACCTGTATAAGCGACGGCTGGGCATTAGGGGAACAGTCAGCAGGGGACAAAGGACAAAGTGTAGGGACAGAGGGGCCCCTCAGAAAGGGAAAAGACAGATGAAGGCCTTGTTGAGCTTTGTTCAAAGTTAATGGAAGTGGGGCTGGGGATTTAGCTCAGTGGTACCACCACCTGCCTGGCAAGCACAAGGTCCTGAATTCAATTCCTTATACTGAAAGGAAAAGAAAAAGTTAGTGGAAACTGGGCATGGTGGCACACACCTGTGATCCCAAAATTCTGGAGGCTGAGGCAGGGGATCCCCAGAAGTTCAAGGCCAGCCTGGGCGCCACAGTGAGACCCTATCTCAAAAAAAAAAAAAATCCTATGCAGGTAAAAGGATCATTTCCAAGGTCAGAGGAGATTTGGAGTGCAAGAGGATTTTGAGGCTGCGAGGTCCCAACTGTTACAAAAGCAGAGGGCCTTTATTTGGTGGACTCTTCTGGCAGGTTACCAAGCCTTCTGGGTGTTGTTCTGTTTTGTTTTTCCTGAGGGCTAAACGCCAATGTTGATGGCCTTGGGGGTTTTGTTGTGGGTGCCTGAGTCCCTGATGCTCCTCTGTCCCTGGAGGCTGCCCGCCCCACGACGCTGCTGCAAAGGAGCCTGTCACTCGGGCCAGCACTGTGCTGAAGGCCAGCCGCTCACGGGGTGCTGGGGTGCGCGCAGCAGCACTGGAGAGAAAAGAGGTGAAAGTGGGCTCCTGCTCTGCCCTGCTCACAGACCTGCTCCAGGGTGAGACTGCAATGCAGCAGCAATTCTGAGGCAAACTGAGAAAGCAGCAGATTATAGTCATGACGCTGGAGCTCAGAAGTACTTCCTAAGGAGAGACGAAAGCACAGCGACATTACAGGAAAAGAGGGTGAGGCTGATCAGAAGGAGAAATGGTTCTCTTTTGTTTTGTTTGAGACAGGGCCCTGGCCTTGACCTCACGGTAATCCTCCTGCCTGAGGCTCCCGAGTGCTGGGATGACAGGCATGTGCTGCCCTGCCAAAAATCTGAGTTTGAAAAGAGGTAGCAGAAGTAGACACCAAGACAAGCTAGAGACCAGGGAATTGTTTACAAGTCACTCGCTAAACAAAGGATTTGAATTCAGTGTATACACAAACTACAACTGAAGGAAAAAAGATGGACAGCAACAGGAAGTGCACGAGGACCCCGTGTGGACGGCCCCGCAGTGACTGCCCCTGCCCTCCGGGGTATGTGAGTCCTGCGCTCCTCACTGCTGTCCACTGCCGCCTCCTCCGTGCCCACCTTGCTGTCCCCACAGTGTGGGGCTAGCATGGTAGGGTCCTCGGCCTCCGTCCTCACCAGAGCCCCCTTAAAGCCCATGTCTTCCCCTTGCCTCCCTCTGCAACAATGTGTGTGGTGTCCCCAGCCTGGGTGTGTGCTGTGACAACCCCGTGGGGCTGTTGAGTAGTGGGACAGGAACTCAGCAGGCCACGCAGGTCCAACCTGAGGGACCCCTCTGGGCAAGAATGGGGAAGGAAGGGTCTCTTATAGGCCAGGGCTTTTTTCATGCATTTTGTGGTGGGCTTTGAGGGCTGGGTTGGAGAAACACCAGGCTATGGCCAGCTGCTGTTCTTTGTGTCCCCTGTGGCCTGCTGACGTATCCTCTGCATCCTCTGTGGCCCGAGTAAAATGCAACCCGTGTCTGTGACAGTGGTGGCGGGCTGGTGGGCATGGCGGGACCTGCCCTGTCTCACCAGATGCACTGTGGAACTGGTGCGCTCTCACATCAGGGCAGTGCTGGTCCACGGTACCTCCAGGACCCATGGATCCTGCTGATCCATATCTTATGCACAGAGAGATCCCTCAAAACTTGAGGAAGAGACTCCAAAGCATTCATGTCCCGACCCAGGGGAAAGCACCCAGCTCCCCAGCCTCCAGCCGAGTGGCTCCGGTCCTCTGAGCTGAAAGCCTGGTTTCTCTGCACCACTGTGTCCATGCCTGGTGTGGACAGACCGCCGGCCTAAAGAACCGGCCTGGCCCTTGCTTCCTGCCCTCCCCAGCCCTTTGGCCCGACCTTGGTCCCCACACTCCAGGAGCGGCCCGGTCACCTCTGCCAACTCTGAGCCAGCCGGCCCACTGTCTGCTTCACACTTGCAGGAGCCTGCAGGATGACTGCAGCCCCTTTGCACATGCCGTTATCCTGGGCTCTGTGACAGGCCCGCTCTCTGGTCTGTCCTCTGTTCCGAGACAGAGAGCCGGGCCTAGACCCTGGCAGCTTCTGCTCTTCCAGGGCAAGGCTGTGCTGCCCGCACCTCAGCCCCCTGCGTGGCTGTGCCCTGGCTCCAGACTCCCAAATCCAATAACCCCGAGGTCTCTGGGACATCTTCAGTTGCCCAGGCCACAGCTGTCACCGGCCCCACGCATGCAGCTCTGTAAATGACCCAGCATCTGTGACACACCCTCCTCCCTCCCACTGTAGTTCCCCAAGGCCCCCTACACCACCCCCTTCCTTCCTTCCTTCCCTCCTCCTCTCTCCCACCTATGCTCTCCCATTCACAGCAGCCCCCAGGGCCTCTGCACCAGCAAACCAACGGCAGCCCCGGTGTGGAACCATCCTGCGCATTCACACTGAACTTAGGGCAGGACAACGGCACAGAGGCCTGTGCGGCCTGGTAGGACACACATGTGTACAGACACGCATGTACACACTGGCACGTACCCTGCGGTGTCTCTGGAAACCCTGACACAAGCTCTGGCGCTTTCTTCAAAGTTCATCTTGTTGACAACAGCGAGCTTTGGATGCTGTTGTCCTTCAGGCTTGATTGCGTTTTCTTTTCTTTTTCAGCGTGAGGTGTACAGGATGGGACTCAGGGGTTCTCTGCCCCTGGGCTGCACCCCAGCCCTAGATCTGGGTTTCCCTTCCTCACCCTGTGTTTAGGAAAAACCCCACATTGCCGCAGTGTCATATCGAAATGTGGCGATTTTATTCGCTGCCCCCCAGCTAGCGAGGCTCCGCCTATGTGCAAAGCCCAGGGTGCCCTGCTTCCAACTTCCGGGCACTCAGGGCAGGCTTCTTCTGCCCCTGTGCCGGTACCTGGCCCTCAGCATGCTTGCGTGCAGCTGGCGTTTCTTCTGGAGGCTCTCCCCTGTTTGGAAAGAGGTTTTCTTAAGGGGTGGTAGGGGTTCTGCGGAGGGGCAGCTGGTGCCTCAAACCCTCAGCTCTGCTCTTGGTGTGAAGGAGGGTAGGAGAAATAAAGACAGGTTGGCTGGGCCTGGTGGCGCACACCTGTAATGCCAGCACTCGGGAGCCTGAGGCAGGAGGGTTGCCGCAAGTTCAAGGCCATCCTATCCTGGGCTACATAGTGAGTTCAAGGCCAGCTGGGAAAAGATAGACTCTGTCTCCAAAAAAACAGAAAAGCCGGGTGTGGTGGCCCATGCCTGTGATCCCCCTACTTCGGAGACTGAGGCATGATGATCGCTGAGAGTTTGAGGCCAGCCTGGGCTATGGAGCAAGACTTTGTCTTCAAAACCAAACAAATGAGAGAGGAGACCATGAAAATCATATTATTTTTGAAACAGGGTCTTGCTATGTAGCCCAGGCTGGCCTCAAACTTACAATGATCCTCCTGCCTCAGCCTCCTAAGTGTTGTGCGTCACCATGCCCAGCTCTGAAAATCGTAATTTCAAAATTGAAAACCGTGGCTTTAGGACACAAGCCCAATTTGAAAATTTTTTTCTTTCTCACTTCTCTCAAAACGCAGTCAGCCTGGGTCCTTCCCTTCCACCTGCTGATGCACTCAGCTCTTCCCTTCGTCCTCGCTAAGCATCCTCTCGCCCGTGAACTGGGCTCCTCAGCCAGTGCATTCCTCCCCGCAGATGGGCATCCTCCCTGCGCCCATGCCAAGACCAAGCCCAGCGCACTGGCTGGCTGACAAATTGCAGATTCCTGCCCCAAACACACGGACATTCCCAGATGAAACTGCATTGCCTCTGTCTCTCCAGGGGCCAAACTCTTCTTTGAGTGAAAACTCCCTCTAACTGAACCCCTTTATGTCTCTTACTGGCCCACCCTGGAAATCCTCATCCCCCCACCAGGCGCCTGTGGACTTGCACCTGGTCTCCGGGTATGGCCGGCTCCTCACCTGGGTTTTGGCCTGGGGGCTGCAGGCTGTGTGGGGCTTGGATTCTGCCACCCATGCCAGTGCCTTCCTCCGGGCTGGGTCCCTGGGCTCTGCACCCCTCCCTGTGCTAGCTCCATGCCCACACCCCTCAAACACGCCCCGATCCCCCCTACACCTGAGGAGGGGCTGTGGCCGCCCCATTTAAAGAGCAGGAAGCTGAGGCTGCTCAGGATGGTGGTCACTTGTCAAGGTCTCCCAAGGTCAAAGGGATTTGAACCCAGGTCAGACTGAGGTGGATGGAAGAAATAGCTGGAAAAGGGACAAGGTGAACCCCAATCTAAAATTATACTTTTTGGGCTGGAGATTTAGCTCAATGGTTCTGCTGCCTTCCTTGCAAGCACAAGGTCCAGAGTTCGATCCCCAGTACCGGAAAATAAATAAATAAAATTATACTCTTTTTTGTTGTTTTCTTTGAAACAGGTCTTACTACACAGTCTACATAGCCCAGGCAGGCCTTGAAATTTCGGCGATCCTCCTGCCTCAGCTTACCAAGTGCTGGATTACACGCATGTGCCACCACACCCGGTTTAAAATTGTGCTTTTAAGAAAGCTGAAGTTTGGGAAATAGTCAAGTCGCCCAATTTACACTGCCCTTTCCCTTCCAGGGAACTGAAAAAAAAAAATCCTGGTGGTTTCCAGGTACAATCAGCCTTTGAAATGCACTGCCCACCTCTGACCCACAGAGTGAGCTTTTGGTGAATTCAGTCTCCCAGATGGGCAGCCCCAAGACCAGCTCAGTCCCCAGACCCACTGCTCCTCCACGGCTCACTCTGCCTGATGATGCCAGTGGCGAGGATGGGCACCTGAGACCTGGGACCTGCTATGGAGCCCGTCCCTGTGGTGCCAGCCTCCAGGGCCGAGGTCCCTTGGATTTCACTGTACGAGCACTGCTGGAACCTACGTCCACACTGTTGCACATGCTTCTGTCAGCCTTCCTGAGTCACGGCACGGCTGGCTCAGAGCCTCCGGAGCTGTGCCTGTGACGGCTGGGGTCTAGGACAGTGACAACCTCGGGCACCAGGCCCGAGTGTCTGGGATTGCACCGCTCCTCCTGAAGTGCCTTCCTAGAGCAGTGACTGCCAGCCACCCCCCTGCGGAGGCAGGCAGGACCCCAAGTGTGGGGAGAGCAGGACAGCAGGCACATTTGCGGTCCCCTGAGGCCTGGTGGTTGAAATGATGGGCCCAGGTATACCCCCGTCCCAACTTGGAGCTGCACATCGGCGGTCGGTGGCTTCGGAAGCCCGTCTGCCACACTGTATCCCAAATGGGGTGTGTGGGCCTGAGCCTGACCCTGAGCCATCATGTGCCAGAGGATGGCTACCCCAGAGGCAGGGACTCGGAGCTGCAGCTGCCTGGGGGACCATGGAGAAGCCTGGCCGGCGGGAGCCACGGGGGGATATGTTTTGGGAAGGGATGAGGGCAGGGAGGTCTCCACATCAGGAAGGGGATGGAGGAGACTCAGCCCATAGGAGGGCCGTGTCTGGTGGGTCAGGGGGACCCCCCTCACCTGGTCACCACTGTAGGCAGTGACCCTACACAGCCGAGCCCGTGGCTGGGGTGACCACAGCCTCCGGGTCCCAGCTCTTCCCGGTAAAGGGAACCTGTCCCGACTGGTGTGGCTAGGAAGGGAGAGCCTGAGGTGACTTTCTGTGACTCTCAGATACCAGAAGCCAGGTGTCCCTGGGTGGATGGCCCTGCCCAACACTCCCACTGGAGCGGGGGCTACTGATCTGTCCCCCAGCCGAGGAGGGAGGTCCCAGGCCTCCTGAACTCCCCCCCACTTGCCTGTTACCGGACCTTGGGCACCATCCCTTACTTAGCACTCTTTGTAGGCTGTCAATGATTTTCTCCAGCGCCGAGAGGCTTTTAATCTGAAAAAGTGTTTCTTTCTCCTCTTCTGTGGGAAAAATCAAGAGCCACAATCAGATCCAACCAACAGTTTTGGTTTAGTTCTGTTATAGTTTGTGTCTGTATGTCCCCCAGTGCTTTGTGCACTTACAGGTGGGTTTTTTTTTTTTTTTTTTTTTTGAGACAGGGTATCGACATGTGGTTCAGGCTGACCTTGAACTCGCTATGCAGCTGAGGCTGGCCTCAAATTTGCAGCAATCCTCCTGCCTCATCCTCCCAAGTGCTGGGATCACAGATGTGTGCCATCATATCCAGCAGGTGGGTCTCTGTGGAAGTGGCTGGATCATGGGAGTGTGGTTCTGGATTATGGGTTTGTGAATGTGGACTGAGGGTGTGATAATTGGATTAGTCAGATTGGGTTAGCATAGTTCTGGGTGTGGTCAATGGGAGGATGGGATAAAAAGGGAAAGGAAGACTTACTGCTTGCTGCCTTCTGCTTGCCCTGCCATGGACTATTTCTCCCCTACCCTCCCTTCTGCCCTGCTGCTCTGCATCAGCCTACTGTGGATTGAAATCTGTATAGATTGTGAGCTAAAATAAACCTTTCTTCCTTTAACTTGTGGGTGTCAGGTATTTTGTACTAGCAATAAGACAGTAACTAAGATAAACTCCAAACTCTTATTGTTTTCACCAGGCTGTCTGGAAGTCTACAGTAAACACAAGCCCATCTGTTCAACCATGTAACAGATCACTACTGGGTATCTCTTTCCTACCTTCTCAGATAGGGCCACCAAGCATCCATAAGAATAGAGCAAGGATCATCAAGAACCAAATATAGCCCAGCATATCGACACATACCTGTAATCCTAACACTCAGGAGGCTGAGGCAGGAGAATTACTGTGAGTTTAAAGCCAGCCTGTTCTAAATAGTGAGTTCAAGGCCAGCCTGAACTATATAGCATGACCCTGTCTCAAAAAAA